TCTTCTCCTCTCGCCTCTGCAACTTGCCCAACTGCTTCTCCTGGGCCGACTGCACCACAACAGCGCTGGCCACAGTGGGCCGCCGTTCTGCAGCTGCTCCGCCAGCGCCCGCAGCCTTGATCCGCTTCTCCTTCACTTCCTTGACTCGACGAGATCGGGTGGAAAACTGATCCAACTGCCGTGCGATCTTCTCCCGCTCCTGGAGCAATTGTCCTACTAACTCGAAGTGATCGAACCCAAGCAGCTCCATCAGCTCGTTCTGCAACTCCTCGCTGCTGCGCTTCGAGCCGAGAATATCGCCCACGCGACTCAACAGGTGCTCGTCGTCCAGCTTCTCAGCTATTCCGACCAGGGTCTGCAGCTCCTTACTCAGCTTGCTGGTCTCGGCGTCCAGGCGCTTTGTCGCCGCCGCATCACACTTGGCCTTGTACCGCATGGAGAACTTCTTAACGGTGCGATTCTTGAGCAGGGAGTCCGGAGCCATGTCCGTCAGCAGGCTGATGTCCATCCACTCGGCCGGCTGGCACTTGACATGGATGTGGGAGCCCCACAGGGGACCCACACCAGGCGCCTTGCGTTGTGCCTGCTGCCAGCGCTTCAGCTGCATCCTCTCGTGCTCCTCCAGGGCATCGCCGATGGCCAGGACGCAGTCATGGATCTGGGACTGCTTCCGGTCGAAGGTGTTGCCGAACATGCTGTGTAGCCGGTTACTAGTGGCCACCAGAAGCACCCGCTGCTCGAGCAGCAGCCAGAACAGGTATAAGGCGGCGTGCTCCACCACCTGTGGCTGCTCCTCATAGCCCATGCACTCCTGCACGAGGTTGCGCAGTTTTTGCAGCTGCACTTTGGCGGCCGGCTGCTTTCCTACGGGGATTTGGGCCAGCAACTTGGCTATTGTCTGCTCCTCCTTCCTGCACGTGGGTCAGTTGTGGATTTTAAGTGGAATTTCAGTAATGGTGAAATCACAACTTACTCATGGGAGTTTGTCGTCGTGGACGCCGCAGCGGTGGTTCTGGCCTGGCGCAGGACACTGAAACGGCGGCTTCGTGCCTCCAGCTCCGTCTTGGTGCGCAGTGAAGCACTCAGTCGTGGTGGCTCCCACATTATCATTTATTATTATTAGTATTCTTATTATTATTATTAAATCTTATCAGCAGATTGGATTTTTAGACACTGTTGGCAGCTTAGCTTACTTCCGGCTAAATCTGGCATATTTGAAAGTGGAAAAGCTTTTTAAGCTTGCAGCTTATAGATTCTTGCGGACAGCGAGAGAGAGCAACAAGTCAACATCATTTGTATTCCAATGATATAAAAGTATCTAACGGATCGAAACGAAACGAAATCTTATTCGTTATGTACAGACAATTTAAATCTAGCTTATCAGCCTGGTCAACACTGATTTTAAAGCAGGAAAGCAATCGATTTCAATGATATCGGACAGCTGTTGCGTCAATGTTGCCACATCGATAGACTTGTCAAAACGATTATTTTGAAATGTGGCCAGACCCAATGTGCTTCAATATCGTAAAAAGGTCGTTATATTTCATAAAAAGAAATCAAATAAACCAAAACATTTACATTTTCAAGTTCTGAAAATAAATAGTTTCTCTAGAGAAAGTTTATTATTATAATGTTAATAAACATTATGTATAATGCGCTAGTTCCCTTTGACGAATATCGTCCGTTTTAAACAGTTTACTTGTGTGACTTCTTCCTAGACCCTCTTCTAATTTATTTTTGCTTTTCATATGCAAAACTTGTCCAGTATCCACCTCGATTAAGAACTTTTACGGCCTGCGTCCAGCTGCTGTGATTCGATGCCCCCGCCCATGTCGCAACCCCAAAATAACCCCATAAACTTGTTGCGCAAGCTGCAATTGTCTGCGTTACTTATTATGCAGCACATGTCGAGTGGTCCTCCGGGTTATCCATCCGCCGCATGCTTCATTGAGCACTTTGAATGGCCCCAAGACCGGAGTGTGTGTCTGGGTGTCCAGCCTGTTGCTCCTGTCCAAGGAGTGTATATAAACCCGTCAACCGACTTGTCGGTCCTTTCAGTTGCGGATTCTGTGGGATACTGAACGGGACACGAGGAGTCCGAGGATCTTATGAGTTACACAAGTCCTTGAGCAGAACGCCGACCAATGACCAGGAACACGATGCATTGGCTGGCCCACATCCAGATCATCATGCTATGTGAGTGACTCTGAAAGCTTGAGTTGAAATTAATCTTTTCCTCCGATTCCTCCCTCTAGGCATGTGGTTCATATGCCTCACCAGCTCCAATGCCATCAAGTGCGACACCTGTGGCAAGGAGTGTGCCAGCGCTTGTGGCACCAAGCATTTTCGGTGAATGTTTTTGCTTCGAGAGAGTCCTTAAAAACTAACAGATAGGTTTCATTTCACACAGAACCTGCTGCTTTAACTACCTTCGCAAGCGCAGTGATCCGGATGCACTGCGTCAGAGCTCGGACCGGAGGCTAATTGACTTTATCCTGCTGCAAGGACGCGCTCTCTTCACCCAGGAGTTGCGCGAAAGACGCAACAATGGCACCCTGATAGACCTCGGCTTGCAGACCTACTACAACTGAGAATATTTACGATTCTACTGAAACTGATACCGAAAAGGACACTGACCTCGCACTACTATTCCTCTGATCCCCTGGCTTTGGCAAGAAGGTTGAAATGTTTGAAATGTTAGTTCTCTTTTTTTGTAATAAAGGCTCAAACTTTGTCGAGAATTGTATAAAGACTCCACTCAAAGAATAACTTGCACTTGAAATTTGATTTTGTATCAATTGCAGTTGTATTTTCACAGTATTTTTTTTACATTTTTAATTGCCATCTTTTTTTTGGGTTTTCGTTGAGGTGTCCTTGCAAAATATATATAGTTGAGTCTGTGTAGATCTAGAGCCGTCAGTTCCCCACGTCTGCAGTCGTCGTCTCTCATCCGCTTAAGCCTGCGACTCGCTGATCTCCGCCGTGGCCTGAGTTCTCGAGTCGGAAGCGAAGTCGTCCTTGCCACATGCCAGGCACGGCATCTTCTCCCTGAGCACCTGCTTGTACTTGGGATGGCTGTGGAGAAAAGATATTAGAGAATATGACTTCATAATTGACTCTATAGTTTCCGCATGAGAACAGATAATTCGTAATTTTCTCACAGAATCTGTAATTTGAGAGCTTTAAAATAATCTGTGGCGAATTTATCCAAATTCCTTATAAATGTCATCATGCATTTCGTGACAAAAAGCCAATTTATAACACAGATTCTGTGTTCGTTTCTGGGGTGTCACATGAAATTCGTCAAGTAAATTTCCAGAGATTTATATTGAAAAACCCCAAAGAGGAGTCATCGAATTTCTAGAGAGTTCCTCGAAGAAAAGACTTGCTCATAGGGTTTTTAAGGAGTTTACATCTAGTAAATCTGAATCCTGAATTCCTGATTTGACAATTATCTGACGACCAGTAAGAAAATAGTTGGTGAAACACTTACCTCAGGCCGTACACAATGGGATTGCAGACCGCATTGGCTTTGGCAAAAACGGAGCCACAAATGGTGCTAAGTGGACTCAGATGCATGGACTCAAAGATTCCCGCATAGTTGATGATGGTGTACGGGGTCCAGGCGAAGAACCAAAGCGAGATGGTGGTCAGAGCCACCTTGGCCAGCTTAATCTCAATGGCCTTGCTCTTGTCAGCCTCGCTGTTGCGCAGCGAAGCCACATTCATCTTCTTGGCCTGCTCCCTCATGGCCTTCTCGTGGGCAGCCACCGCCTGAAAGGGAATAGGAATAATTTTGTACTTGTATTTCAAGAGGAGTCAGAGTTTCCCACCTTCATGATGTGCCAGTAGGAGAAGATGATGGTCAGCAGCGGCGTTAGGTACACCCACAGCGAGTAGACAATGATGTAGGACCTGTTCCACCAATCCTTGGCAAAGTAATCGGTGCCGCAGGCGGTCATGTTACCCTCGGGCACATAGCGATTCCAGCCGAACAGTGGCATCAGAGCCCAGGCACCGCAGATGATCCAGACGACCAGGAGTCGCAGAACTGCTGCTGTGACCGTCAGTGGCTTCCTGGCCATTCCCTTGACAATCACACAGTAGCGATCGTAGGCAATCAAAGTCATGGACCAGATTGAGACGCAGCCAAAGAGGGAGCCAAACATGCCGTACAGTTCGCACAGGAAGGGACCCATAATCCAGGTGCCGTAGAAGCCATTCAGAACCACCGGCGGGAACATGGTGAACATCATCATGAAGTCGGAGAAGGCCAGGTTCACCACGAACATGTTGGATGGAGTGCGCAGTCCCTTCGACGAGGTGAAGATGTACATCACAATGAAGTTACCCGTTAGCGACATGGTACCAAGGATGGCGATAACAAAGCCAATGATACCGAACCACATGGGCTCCAGTGGGGGCCACTGGTACCAATAGGGATCCACCATGTGCATGATTTCGGCGGGCACACTCTCCGCCAAACTGAGATTGCGTCCATCACGCATATAGGCGTAGCTGGGTGGATTCAGGCTAATCATGGTTGCTACTTGGTGGTGCTGCTGGTGGTGGTGCTGCTTCGGTGGTGGCTTCGTCTAATCTCGGATGGCTACTCTGCTGCGGCCACTACTCGCTGTCCATAGCAGGAAGGCTGACACTGACTCTGGTGGCGCTGCCTCGGCGCTAATGCCTGCGGCGGAACCCTGGCCAGGTCTTTATACCTATGGCCACTTGTGTCCAGCCCGTCTTAGACTAATTGCCCTAATCCAATTACTGGTCACTTGGCCAATCCCAAGTAAGTTACCGGACTAGAATTGGGCTTTCGATTGCCGTAAATTTGCTGCGTCGGATTACAAGCAGTGCGCGTCATTTCCGAGCCGTCTTAGCCGCCGAAGGGCCATCATGGACAAGGTCAAGTTTGAGGCAGCCACGCAGCTCCTCCTCCTCCTCCTCCTTCTCCGCCCTTCGCCAGCCAATTAGATTAAGACAAACGCTTTTCAAATTCACGTTTTATTGACACAAACACACACCACCTCAGGCATGCCAATGGTAGCCCAGCTTGCGAGCTCCCCTCATCACGGAGGACAGCTGAAAGTCCAGGCTGCCATAGGATTCCATGGCCAGGCCCTTACACTTTAGGTTATCCAGCAGCACTTTTGGATCCTTGAGCTCCGGCTCTCGCCGTAGCAACCAGCTGGTGACATCTGCAATCATATTAGGGCACTTGGGCATAAGAATGGGAGCCTGTAGCTGCTCCATTTGCTCGGCAGGACGACGGCTACCAAACACTGGCAGGTGGATGTGGGCATAACCCAGCAGACTTTCGCGTCCCAGGCCACTGCGACCGAATACGCTGACAAGGATTTGGGGCCCTGAACGGATAGAGAAGTTTAGATACTGTCTCATTAATTTCACATACTTTTACCCACAGCCATAGGGACTAGTGCTCCTGTAGGTCACCTCGATGGGCATGTTGAAGACAATGGGTTCGTTGAAGTGTCCACTCTTGTTGGTGGCCAGTTGGGTGAGTCCATGTTGGGGTCCGGAGGCCAGTTGCCAGTCGGGACCAGCAATCAGTTCGTAGCGCAGGAAGACAAACTCCTTGTCGGGACCCAGGGGAAATGTGGCGGACACTATCTGTCCCGTGATACTCAAGCTAAAGTAACTGGCAGTGGCTTTCGCGTCCATGGGTTCCGGCTTGCTCTCTTTGGCACTCTGGGACTGCTTCTTTTTGGAGTTCTTTTTGGGCTTTTGTTTACGTTTTTCATACGTTGGAGTGGTGTCCATGTTGCCAGGGAGACTGATGCCCTCGCTCCAGACACTCATGGTGGTTGCTTTTGGACTCTAAAAGGGGGTGCCTTTCCAATCGAAGATAGAATATTTTCCACCTGTCACTGGACGAGTGTTGGAAAAGGTTTTGGAATGTCAAAAACGTCGTCAGGAAATCGGAATTAAAACAATAAATAATCGAAATTGAAATGTATTCTCTTTGGTCATATATGTATATTTTGGCTTGTAAGGGTTTTTTGCACATGCGAATAATATAGTATTAAATAACTCAATACCATAAGCAGTCATCGAACCAACAATTTATTGACTATTTGGCATTTTCATATCGAAATTTCAATGCAAATTGTTGGACATTTACATAAGAATTTTGTATTTTATAGTTAACTGAATAGCAGGAATCACTTTATTAATTTGTTTCTGGTATTTATATATACATATATATGTATGTTGATTGTTATGAGAGAACTCAAGAGTACTCGACGTTTATTGATTCTAAAGCTGGCTAGTATATGGCCTGTCCATATTTAATAACAGTTAAGATAAAACCGTGCGAATAATTTCCATTTCTTGCTGATTTAATGAGTGAACAGGAAATTACCAGTTAATTAATCACATTAATGATGTCTTTCGGTAAGTTGCTTAAGTACTTGCAAGTCGGATCTTTCTTCTTTGTAAAGTTTATTTACTTACTTGAAACTTCTGGTTATGTCGAATGGCCAATGTAATTCAATATCTTTCAAGTTACATGGACATTGTTGTTCTAGTTCTGCTTTGCATATCGCTCTTGCATGGGCAATACGTGACAATTTACAAGATAATAATTCATTTTCTAGGCGTGTGCTGATTGTTCAAAAGGTCAATTAGGACTGACAGTGCAACGGAGCCAAGGAAGGGGCTGCTCCAGCAGCCTCCCGCCTCTCGGCAGTCGTGTAATTAATTCTGTAATGGCCATTTAGCAATTTATAGCTGCCAACGCGGTATGCCTGTAAATCATCGAGACAATTGCCGGCGCTACCGAAACGGGAAGTCGCGCCTCCGATGATCTCCGGTACCGCTCCCTGCTCCCTGAATGATGCATTATGCAACTGGCCAACTGGCCAACTGGCCAAGTCTGGGCCAAGTCAGCATTTTCCATGCTGCCGGCGTAATTAAAATGCGCCGCAACTAATATATAATGTTAAGAGTTCAAGGCCTTCTCCTGGGTCGTCCAAAGAGTGGCAACGATTGCAGGTGATCTTCACACCGCCGTTTGGGCTTTGGCTAGTCATGGCAGCTGCAGTGCAGCCGGCTTGGAGTGGTTTTAAGAGCCATGGAGTGGAGCAGCAGCTGGTTCCAGCCAAAAGGTGTGCTGCAATCGAGGGATTACACTGGGAGAATTCTAAAGGGAGTGCGTTTATACATTTTAAAAGGTTTTAGATGGAACATATACTATATTTCTTTCTCTGCACTTCCAAGTGGAACTAAAGCTTAGGCTTAGGCATTAAGAATTAAGCATTATGCCAAAAAAGCAACGATCAGGCCAACAGAAATCTGAAATGAGACATCAGGCCATAACACAACATATATGCCGCAAGTCGTAAGCCATAAGCCATAAGCCGCTCATCAAGTCGACGGTGCAATCGGAGAGAGTGCTGACTCTGCACAGAATCAGCATTATTTCGGCTCAAGTTGAGCATTATGGCATTATGCTAACTGGTCTCTGCGATTTCGACAAATTTTCGTTGGCTTCTAATACTGGATAATATCCACACACTCAGGGCATTCGGCGCGTTTAATGGCTGCATTCAATTACGTTTTCGGAATCAATGAACGGAGGGAATTATTCAGAAAGAAATATACATTTCATTCTTTCATTGGTCAATGCTGCCCCTGGTATCGGGTTTGGCTCCTTATATAAAACCAATTCATATCCATTGAATGGCCTCCGGTAAGTGTGATTTTTTCAATTGAAGAGTGCACTGGCCACGAACATTACTGAAATTACAGAAAGCCAAGGAGCCAAGGAGTATGTTGAACCGCATTGCGCAATCATACTTTTCGGAAAGTTACCATCTGCAGATGTCTAATATCTTTCTCTGGATAGCCGCCAGTTCAAAGATGGTTTTATGCATGCGTGTGTACTTGTACATAGTGTATTCATTCGATCTTTATGATCTTGCCTTTCAGCGGGCACTCATCTTTTATGCCTCCCATTGTAGTACTTCTGCCTCATTTTAAAATGTTTTTAATTTCATCTCAATTCAAGTATTTTCCACATGATACCCATAAATATTTGCAAGCCTAGGGGATACGATTTGCATGCCATCTCAAGGAATAGAAAGACACTGAGCCCACTGAGTGCCACTTAGTTTTAGCATTTCCTCCGAAATTAGGTTAATAATTTTAATGAAACTATAGAAGAGAACCGATTCGTTACCCAACATACATATGTTAAATTCAAATTGGTCAAGGCGAAAGTTTAATTTCTTATTCGACATGAAGTAACATATTAGAATGTAAACATGAATTGTGTCTGGTTTTAGACGATCTTTTTCCGCTGTGCATCTATATATAAACCACTATTAGTTTATATTTTGCGCATTGCGTGGGCGTGGGCTAGTCTCAGGGTCAACGCACGTCGGCCAGCTCCCAGAGATTCCCATCTCATCTCCACAGCCATCCCCGGATTCCCATCTAGATCTCAGCATCACCATCGCCATCGCCATCTGTGTGCGCTGTCATAGAGACTGGCTGCTTGGCTGCTGGCTCTCTATGCCGCTGTTGAATGGATGATATATGCCATACAGTTAAGTGAAATGTATCTTCGAGATACACCGTCTATGGGAGTAGAGCCGAACGAACGCCTCTTACGCATGTCTCTCGATCTCGATCTCGATTCCGATTCCTATTCCGATTCCTGCCGCTGATTGACAGCGCAAGTAATTGAGTTTGATTTTTGCGAATTTCCAGAATTCAGACATCACCATTCGATCTCCACGCTCCTCTCCGCTGGCAATGGACCACGGAACTGAGGGTAGGGGGAGCTCTTTAAAAAAAGGTTTGTGTTTAGTTAGCCCACATATTTGATTCGATTTGATTGAGCAGCTGTCAGGGGGAACTTAAAAACCTGAGCTCTCAATAATTCCAGCTGTGGATCCGCTATGCCTGTCTGAGGCCTTTCGCAAGCCTTCCATCATTCAATCAGGATCAGTATTTATCAATCGACTGTGTGTGTGGGTGACTGATTGGTGGAACTATGCGAGCATCAAAAAGCCGCTGAGCCATTCACGCACCAAGAGCACACTCACCCCAACACTTTAATGTACTATATAGTATATAGTGTATAGTATACTATATAGTGTTTGTGAACGGACGCAATTGACTAAGAGGTCTGCGCGTGTTGGACGCACGGACGGATAAACAGACTCCGGGTCTGACAGCACAAGCATTTCGCATTTTGAAGATACACGAGAATCGATCGATACGAGATCGATTCGCAGTCTCAACTATCGATCGAAATTGCACAAGCACACCTGAAAGCAAGTACTAATCCGAATCCAAGTCTCTGTAGATCCCATGGTGCTATTTTGGAAAGCAGCGCGTGCTGCCTAATGATCTAAATGCGTTAATTATTAAGATGATACAATGCGATGTGGATCTGGGATCTGGAATAGATACCACACCACAGATACAGATGGATAGACAGATAGATACATTGTGGTCAGCTTCAGTGGCTTCCGCCTCGCCTCGAGTGCGTTTGATCATTAACATGTGAAAGGCAGCGGCACGACTCTTTGAGCAATATCTCCTAATTCAGACAGTATGCCTGCCCCTCTGGATTATTGATTTCAGAAAGGATTTGCTAGACTTTGTAATTAATTGGTAATTTACAAATAGATTTACTTAGCGCATGGATTATTTCGGAAGGTTGTGTTAGGGCATGGATGGGTCGGCCTGAGGAAAAGCATATTGGAATAGCCTGCTTGCCTCCACACTTTTATGGTTGTTTCGTAAGATTTTTTGTTATTTTGGCTGCTGTTTTATGCCACGAGTAGGCAGTTTTGTTGTTGATTACAAAAAAAGCGTTGCAGATCGCATAGTTGGTGGGGCATCAATGCAACTCTTCCCGGAATCTCCCCGCCAGCTTTTCAGCTGCTTTTCATTAGCCGGAGGAGGGAGAGGAGCAGGAGGAGGATGTGGATGTGGATGTGGATGTGGAAGAGGATGCTTCTAGGCAAACAACACCAACACCCCCATTGCCTTCAAGCACATACATCATATTTTCGTTGAGAATGTTTTTGGGTTTTTGTTTTATTGCTGCCGCCGACTGGCTGGTGGCTATGCGAAATGGATTTTTAATTTCCAACTATATTTTAATTTGGCAAACGAGCTCTCGTCTTTTAATTGATTAATTCTTATTGCTGCGTTTGATTAAAGAAAATATTTAGTATACAATAGGGTCAATTGCTACATATGGTAATTTGCCATAGAAGACATTTATGTGGAAGACTTCTCCGGCGCTCGGTTCGCAATTATTTTTGTCCACTGACGCGATCCATAGATTGATCTTGACCCACATTGGTCGGGATCCAGAGCAGATGTCGCACTTGATACTTAAAGTTGGTTGGATCTTAACTCTGCAACTTATGTCTATCAATTTCTGTTTATACTTACTCACTTTTAAGAAGCGAAGCCACCTTATCATCTAGTACGTCACAGTTTATGAGGAGAATCATCTACCGTTCTTGGATCATAAATGATGTAACCATTTCCTACGAATTATTCGTATTGAGATAAACCCAGTGAAAGAAAGAAAGTTTTTATTGTATGCTTATAACATTGCAGGAGATTATAATTTCAGTCAGAAGCCTGGAACACAGTGAAAGAGTCATTTCCGACCCTATAAATCATATATATTCTTGATTAGCATCAACAGCCGAATCGATATAGCCATGCCATTTAAAGTTTATACTTTGTATGGTGATAAGCTAAAGAAAACACAGACATTCTTTCCGAATTTAAATTGTTATGTTTGTTGTGATCGATTTCCAATTCGATCCCATGTTCCAAATGCAAACTTATTTAAAATTATTTATACAAAACAATTGTACTTCAGATTCATTTTCACTACTGGGGAATCTGCAATCTGATCTGCTTGACCAAAAGCAAAAATTGTTACTAGGTTAGGCCTCTCATATCTTGAGAAAAGATAAGTACATAGTCTAAAGTTTTTATCTCTAAAGGTTGTATAACTAAGCAAAAAACTTAATCCAATCTATACATGTGCGAAAACCAGGGACCGAAAGAAAGACCCCGAATGACTTTTATAAAGTTATATTTAAAAAGTCCAATAAAAAAATCTGTTTATTTTTCACTGAAATTTTATGTGGGGTAAATCTGTGGACAATGTTACAATTTAAATATTTTCAATAGAGGTGAAAAATTTATAATTGTAAATCATTAAATATGTAGGAAAACTGACTTCGAAAAGCCATATCTTGTATACCTTTGAAGTTTATAATTTTAATCCAGTGTTATTATATAATTCTAATATTTCACTCTTATATAAAGAACACACAAGTTTAACAGAGTTTGTTAAATATTAATATACACTTTCCAATATTACCTATATATAAAATGGTTGTTTAAATTTTATAAAACTAAAAATTGATTACTGCAATCTTTAGAAATTATTATAATTCCAGCTATATGCTTATAACTTAGACAATAACTAAGTTGTATAGATTCTAGATTTAAATTTTTGATAGTTTCTTTGGCTAAATCTACTCACCTGTTGATTCGGATCAAAAATATGAGTTCATTTGGCTTAATCATTTTAAGCAAAGTTAGAATACCTTCTGTTAGGGTATAAAACTAAGTTTTAAGATTCTTATAGAAGCTTATTTGTCCAATTTTATGGGTACTTGAACATTAAAGAAGCGGTAAGTGCGAAAGAGCGAAAGTGTGAAATAACTTTTATCTTCGAGTTCTTCTAAGATTTCACATAACTTTTTACTTGGCAACTCCACGCTCAGGCGGAGTGTGGAAGCTAAGAGAGAACTGTGATCTTTAAAGCAACGCTTTGGGGCTTTGGGGCTTTGGCTCTTTCTCCCCAGATCGCTCTCTGCGCCGCTCTTTGCTCTCTCTTGGATTCGATCCACTTGGAGTGGGTTTATGGAGCTAGCTACTTGGAGAGACTTCGTATTGAGTGTCATCCTGGCTGATTGCTCCTTACCTCCAGGGAGCTGAAGAGGATAGCCTGTGCCCTGTGCCATGTGCCATGTGCCATGAGTCCCGTGCCCGCAAAGCACATCAGCTGGCGGCGTCGGCGGCGGACGGCGAGAGAGCTTGTGCTCTGCGAAGCGTTCCGCTTGGCGCAAGCTGCCGCTTCCAAGTGCCGATCGCCGAAAGGCGGCGGCAGTCAGTCCGCAGCGGGAACTCGAGCGAGCCGAACCGAACACCGCCAGATGTAGATACACGCCGTCTGGCCCTAAGCACTTGGTCAGTCTCTACACACATTCTCGTCTGTTTGTTTGTTTGTTTTTTAGTTCGCGCGCGGCAGAACCAAGTTACGAGTTAGTTCCGAGATACCGAAACCGATTCCGATCCCAATCCCAATCCAGATCCCCAATCCCCTAATCCGATTCCTGTCCAGAATGGCCGCCGGCGGTCTGCAGTAATGCCATCCGATCCGCGCGTTTACCTGACATGGCAAAACCTTCGCCGCCAGAAGCAAGCAAAAAGAGCTAAGAGTCACTGCCACTGCCACTGCCAAAAAGAAAGCCGGCCCAGAGAATGCCAAAGGTGACCAAGTTAATGGTGCAGCTGGAAAGTGAATGCATTTAACCGCGATGTGCAAAGTGGCTTAGCATTGGATAGAATTCTGTGATTCGGCAAAAATGAGATTCATCATGAGACCGCCGCAGTAGTTGACTCAACTAAAAGTAGTAGTTTATCTAAGCTAATCGCTAATCACAGCATATGCCAGATGATACCCTGTTATCCAAATACCAAACGAGAGTGTTTCATTTTTTGCGGCGGGTGCGGTGAACGGAACGGAACGAGACCGTCGCATTTCAATTAACAAAATAAGCAAAGCCAAAGAGCCAACGCACACAGCACGCAGAGCCCAGCTATATACGTTGCTATAAATATATAATATATACCTATATAGAGAGTGGGGATTGTGATCCGATTTCGCGCGCATTTTTGCACGTGCCACAGCTGATTTGATATTGGTATTGCTTGTGCGCCATCGGGAGCTGGTGCTTGGAATCATGTCCAGGCTGGATGCCGGTGTTACGGAAACTGCCGCCACGGCGGCATCCGACTTTCATCACCTGCTGGACCACAAAGCCACAGTTACAGCCACAGCCTCCGCCCCGTATAACAGTGCCACGCTCCGGTCCACAACTTCCGGTCACAGCAGCCGGACGAGCAGCACCACAGTCTGTGACTCGCCCGGAGGAGGCAACGAGGATGGTGGCTACTTCGATGACGACGACGACGACGAGGAGATATCCCACGAGGAGTGTTGTCTCCGGGGAGCAACAACTGTGGCGGATGACCTGGATGACCGCCTGCGGTATTCCTTCAAAGGACCGCCGCCGGAGCTCTACTCGCCCAAGAAGGATTTCATAAGCAAGGGTCCGCTGCTGGATAGACAGGTAGGTGGTCCTCGTCCTCTTCCGGCTCCTCCTCCTCTCTGGCATGGTGCCCAGCCATTCTTTTGTTTTACGATATTTCATTTATTTTTTAAGGCTGGATTTTTATGCTATTTTTTCTTCTCTTTTCTGTTTTATCGAAATCGGCTGGCGAAGCGAAAACCAAATTCAAGTTAATTTATTGCATTGATTCCACATCGATGTGTCGAGTTCTTGCCTTTCTTTTATAATTTCGGTTGATTTGTCGATATTTTGGTGTGCTCGTCTCGTTTTTTGTAGCCACATTGTTTCGCTTTTTGGCTCTTTCTGTTGTTTTTTATTATTTTTGTGCCTCTCTTTTTTGATTTTGATTAAATACCGCAGGGACACAAAGAAAGCGGCCGTCGCATTTGAATTCACACGCTTCACTGCACAGCCCCGGCAACAGAAAAGGCAAAACTCGCAGCTAAACGATCTCGATGGCGTTCGATTTGTGATCGAACTACCCGATCCGATCCGATCCGGTGCGATTCACTCAACGTCCAGGTGGAGACTGCAGTTTGGCAGCCATCAAACACGTTGCAACCACATCCATCTGCACAACTACACCTGCACTTGGGCATTTTGTCGAAGGTACTTGGGATGGTTCGAGTTGAGTCACTGCAGCCCATTTGCGTCAAGAGAAGCGGAGGAGGAGGCTGGGGGCATGAGATCTGGGCACTGCTGATATGAGGGACATATGTTTCCGCTATCCCGATAAGGGATAGTAGCGTTGCTCTGCCGCAACACTTTTTTTCGGCGAAGTTGTTGCTGCATCCAACGCACACACGTTGTCTAATAGTCTAATAGATTTATCTCGTCTCTTATCTGCTGTCCCAAGTAGACCCAGTCCAAAAAGTGGCTGCCTGATAACCCAAAACATAAAAGCGATCGAGATTTAAGGTGCTACATACACATAGAAGCGAGAAAGATGTCACCGACAGAGGAATACTCTTTCTAAAACATGGAAGAAATAGTTTTGGATGCGAAATTAATCAATTCCCAAAAGTTTCTCAAATTACAGCTATAAATCTCTATTTATATAAATAAGTGAATAAATTACTCTGAGTAGTATTCCTTGAAAACAAAGAACTTTGTTTAAGAGGGTAATAAAGTAATCACACAGTAATCGATTTTAAAGGTATCTTAAAGTATTCTTAAAAATATTTGAGTTTGCTTTTTGTTTTAAAAATAAATGAATTATTCATTATTATTATTATTTATTAAATATTTATTAGTGTTTTGTTACCTTGCCTTGTGACAAAACTTAACTTAATCTGAGCTTATTTTAATTAGCAGACTCATAAAACATTGTTTTTTTTTAAAACCTATCCTATCACACTTTTGTACATCATTTAACATTAATTTCACATCTACATCACTTTCTTCGACACTCCTTGTTATTAAATTGAATTGATTTATTTACCAATTACAATTTCCATAGTGTAGTTTAATAAAAATACTAAGCTGATATATATTTGCAATTATATAATTAAAATTTGACTCATTTTGAGAGATAGACGCCCCTGCTATATTCCCCCATTAGTCATAAATAGCCAGAATTCACATGCAAATGCAACACATTTGGATGTTTGCATTAGGGAAATGCAATTGCGAAACTGCAATTAAACGCGAAGGGGTGGAAATGACCGATTACAATACCTCAACTAGGTGTAACAATTAGCCTGTTGGGACGTGACAACTACAAATGTGGCCTACGTACTACGTACAGACTCTTACAGGCTATTAGAATTTTATCAACGTCCGTGTAATATTTGAAAAACAACACGAACTTTGAGTTCATGAATACGCAATGGATGAGCTTGGGATGCGTCGTCGTATTAGGAAGTGGGTAAGCTCAGCTCGACTCTGGTTAATGATAACGACTCCATGTGCATCGTAACCCCCCGGGGCATGGATGGATGGGATGAACTGGGGGACAGCTGTCTCTATATGCCACCACTCTGGGCAGTATTCGGGTAGTCTCTGAATAATTGTGACATCTTGCGGTGCAGTCTGAAAATAGATTTTCTAATTTTTCATGTGGCGCCTGAAATCCGGCAAATACTTGCTGTAAGTAACGTTCAGTGTATTTAGTCCAATTTGTATTTCAACGATGAAATTTGCACAATGTGTAGAATTTGAATATTTATTTTTTTGTTATTGTTTCGTTTTGTTTTGTGCTTTTTTTTTGTATTGTTGTTACTTTTTGAGTCGTACGTCGTCGCTTTGCGCGTGTTTCTCTGTCCCCTTGGTTTCTTTTCTTATTATTTTTGTTGCTGTATTTTGTCTTCAATTTATTTCGTCTACTTTAAATAAAAATGAAGAAAATTTTCAGCGTTCATTGACATTAAAAATGAGAAAAAATAATAATAAGCAAAGAAAACGAACGAAATGTACACCAGTCTGAAATTGAACATTTGTCAGTCGCCAACAGTTTTTTCTGTTTTTTTTTTTTTTTACCGATCTCAACGAAATACCACTCCAAATGTGGGTGTTGACGAATAAGGGGGTGAGTAATCCCCTCTAGTAAAACTAGACAATGATCATGATGATGATTTACCCCCAAAGAAGACCCTGATAAACCAATGCCAAACATCCTACTAAAGACCGCCTGTAATGATCATGAATTATTCTGCTCATCTCTCACTGAATGGATACGATATATTGCCCAAAACAATCCCCAATTCTGTATGCCGATTTGTATGCTAATTAGGAGGGCGTGGTCCTCCAGCCCTTCGGGTGACAGATAATAATGCCATCCCGCCGGGGAACACAATAAATGTACAATATAACGAAAACATTCACAGAATAATTTCAAGTAAAAATGCCAAAAAATAAAACAAAATCATTTCAAGTGTGATGTTGGGGCGTGACTTTAGGGTGCTGTGCTTTATGCTTTCTGGGTTCACAGTGGGTAATTTTGAATTTAATTTATATATATATATTTTTTTTTCGGCAAGAGATATTTACGTGATCTGCTTGCTGACACTTTTACGAAGGCCCGCATCCCCACCCACGTTCCCCGGACAGCAAAGTCCCAACTACTCATTTTCTGGCTTAAGAAAACTGTCAAAATGATGAAAAAGTGCTTATAAAAAGTGAAAGAATAATTCAAAGCGATCAAGTCGAACCGGGGATACTCTTTCTCCGTCAATAAAAGTAATAAATCAAAGAATATCTTGCTAAAATAGATTTGTATTGCAAGTTTCCTTTTCTGTGCAAAAATATTCTGTAAAATCTTGGGGAAAGGGTATCCGATGAATAGCTTAAACCCCTTACGAACCCGACAAGTGATTGCTCATTTTAATTAATTCTTTTTTAATTTATCAGTCAAGATTAATGTTAAACATGTTCAATCTGGCTAGATGCGGCTTTTGGACACCGACTTCGGTATTGGCCCAGCCGGGGTTTCTGTGTTAATAATTTAAATATGGATTTTAGCGGCCTTTTTCGGCATGGTATTAGCATAATTGGTGGCCAGTGTCCATCCCCAACTGCCAAGCTAAGCCACTCAAGGCGAAAACACCTTTAATAATTATCTGTCCAATTTTTCTTCACATTCGGTTGATTTCTTCTCTCGATTTGTATCTTGTGTGTCTCTGCCGCCTCGCTCAGATCGTGAATGAATTTTTCAGCAAATTATTGTGTGTATCTCTATTTTTGGTGAATAAAAATTTGTTAAACTAACTCTATCTATAGTCGTCAAAGGCTTACATCAAACGCCAGAACCGCCCATGGCCCGGGTCTATTTCAATGCTTTATTTGGTGTTTAGTGGCTGGGAGGACGGGTCCGAACTCGACTTACCTGAAACGAGCCTATCTTAATGATTTTTTATTTATTTGCTGCCATTTGTTGTGAGTCCGTCTTATCGCGACCGCGACCATTTCGGGTTGGAGCGTGTAACATCACTTTACATAAGTCCATTATATTTTATTTTTAACGACACTCTTTTAATTATTTCCCCGCTGGTGGCATCATCGCTCCCATCTTCACGGTCAAGGCAGCCAGTGTTGGGGATCATCGTGGCATTATCGATATACTGTCGCTTTGCATATAAATTTGGGGATCCAAGACGATCTGAGACGATCTCAGACGATCCAAGACGAGACGAGACGGACTCTTTGGGGCGGTGCGTCTCTTTATTCATATGCTAAACTCTTTTTGGAAACGGAATTCAGAAGTCAGAAGTGGTTTAGCTGGGCCAACGGGCTCGGCATTTATTTGAAAGCAATTTGGAAACCTTGGGGCATCATCGCTTTATCATCGGGGATAGGATTGGATTGGGATTGGGATTCAGATGGGATGTTATGCGATGGGTGCAGCATAAGCTGAGCGCAGTCTGCGATCTAAATACAACCAAAAAGAAGGTTTCCCCTAATGGCTCTGTGAAGCTGTTATTGTTTTATTATCGGTTCTCTCGTTGCCGTTTTTATTATTAATATTTCAAGGAGCCCGGAATGGGGATGTTTCATTGTGGTTTATGTGTGTTCCTCAGCCGTTCCTTTGTCTCGATTGTTTCGATTCCCCGGAATCAGACTTGGCATTGCGGTATTCTTCTTCTAAATCTATGCGGGGTGTTATTTATATATATATTTTATATATACTCTTTCGGTTGGGTGGCATGATTTATGGGACAAGTAATGGCGCATCAAGTATACGCCCTGTGGGTTATCCTGCCTCGAAAGCTCCACCACGCGCAATTCAGCAGAAGTCAAAGTTCGACGTTCTTCTGGGAATATCCCGAGCTATAGTTGGACATTTATAAATATATATCCCATAATCGCATTATTGCCACACGCCCTCCGATTTTGGTGAAATCGAATATCTGTCATCTTGGCCGCAGGGCATTCGGTTAACGGTTTCGCCAACTTAGAGCGGCAACCTAAAACAAAAACCGATCGCGATTTGCATAGGAAATCAATTCGAAGTCATTAATAAATCGACCTGTTTTATTTATTATTTATTTACATTTCGCTCGCCG